CGCTGTCCCGCCCCCTCCACGCAGACAGGAGCATTTGATGTGGTCTTTCCTCCCCGGCCTCGTCGCAAGCCTCATGCCCATGGCTGAGCATTAATTAACTAATTAATTCCTGTCCGCCTGTGGCGCGGCCTCTTTCCCCGCGGCACGCTAACCAGGTCGGACTCCGGGCTCATTGTAGCTAGCGGCTGTGCACGTCTACGTGTTTCCTGGCCGGGTTCCCGCGGCTTAACCGGGATCGACACCCCGGTGCGCGAAACCAAGTGCAAAGCTAAAGAGACGGCCGCAGCCTTCTCCAAACAGAATCTCCCTCAAAAGCTCGACTTCTGGTGGCCGGAGCAAGGATGAAGACGGGGACAAGGAGGTGTGGGGTTGCACAGGAGAGGGAGGATGCTTGCTTTCTCAACACACTCCTGGCGACGTGGCCCCCGGAACTCGCCACCCACTTTGCAGGGCTCCGCTTCTCCTCGCGGGTCCCCGGCGCCCCCTGGCGGCGGGCTCCGGGGCGGCTTCGCAGAGACACGCTCTCGGGGCTAGGGCGGAGCCTCCCGGGGACACTCGGGCGCATGCGCGCCCTCCAGCCCCGCGCCACCCGCGCGGGAGGTTGCCAAGGAGGTTGGTGACTAGCGGTGCTGATTGGCGAGTTCCAAAGTCCCCGGCCACACCCACCAGACCCCGGAAGTGCCTGCCTACCGGATAGACTGGTCGTCACTCAAACGCCAGCCTGACCGCTCATTGGACCCGGGCAGAGAAGGCGGGCCCGTCCCAAGCGGCGATCCGTGGCTGGTCCCGGGCGGGCCCGGGCGGGCGATCCGAGGCTGCCTGGTGCTGGCTGCAGGGGGCGGCGGGGGCGCCGGGTGGAAGGGGCGGCCAGGGCCCTGCCTGAGGCGATCGCTGCGGCGAGTCGGGCCCTGCCCGCTGGGCCCAGTCCCGAGATCTTCCGCCGGGCTAAGTTTGACCGTCCAGAGGCGGTGAGGCTACCGGGGTCGGGGTCGGAGTCGGGGATGGTGTTGTCACGGGCCGATGTAGGCGATACCTTGATGCCCGCTGACTGCCACCCTCCGTCGCTGCAGGCCCCAGCGCTCTGGCAGCTTCTCTTCCGCGTGCTCTCACCGCTTGCTGCAAACCATGCCTCCACCGACCTTGCACCAGGTGAGCCCCGCCCTCCCTGAAAGCCGCGCCCCAGGGCCCTTGTTGCCACTTCCCCAACTCGGTCGACCTCACTCTGCCCTAACTCAGTAAGTCCTCCTTTTTCAACTCCAAAGCCCCCTCCGGCAGGCACCCCCATCTCTAGCCGCTCTGTCCCGCCCACCTCCTGAAGTCTTGTTTTCCACCACCCTCTCCCTAGCTCACCCTGGCTGGCAGTGGCTCTGAGACTGGCCAACCGTTCACAGACATCCTGCCCCCGGGCCTCCTTTGTCCACTCGGAGCGGGTTCTCAGCTGGGGGGGG